ATGACATTTTTAACTCTTCTTCAATGGGATATAACGCCGCAATTAATTTTTAAATGATGAAATGGAAATGTAATTGTGCATTCATAAAAAATAATGTTATACCTCCTTGGTGGCCAAAAAATGTTTTACTATTTTCTCAGCCAATATTGCATTAGGTCTCCACTTATACATTCGAGAACTTTGTGATGTTTTGTATCTCCGACGTCCAAAATTTTTTCCAATCTCTGGAAAGACCTCATATATCCAGAACTGCAAGTAATTATAATCTTTTGTTATACAAATAAGTTATGCATAATATATATAACAATAAAAGAATAGAAAAAATTCACTTGAAATACAAGTGGATATCCTCTTAATGCATATTTACAATCTGTTTGTTGATTTTGTTCTGCTCTTTGCACTCTTTTAGCTTATGATTCTTGCAATTAATTTAACAAAACAAAATATGATTTTCGACCCCATGGATAAGCAAGAAAGTCATCGAGATGCTTGACCATACCAAGAGTTTTATAATCAATATTTCTGCCAATTGATTTCAAAACACACTCCACAAACATAACCAACCCCAACTTAAATTTATCTATGTAGTCTTCACATAAATGGAATGCTTGGTGCAACATTCTCATATTAATTCTTCTCGTACCATTGAAATAATGATTTATAAGACGATAGTTATTATGATTAATCTCCACAGATGGTTTATGACATGGTAATCCAGTAACGAGACAATATTCATGCATGCTAAACTTGGCGATACGATCACTTAATCGTACCCACACTTCGTTATTTTTATCACAATGTACAAGCCTCATTACAAATTCTTGTATCAACCTACTACTAAATTGTTCCACTTTTTCCCTATAAATAATTCCCGTAAAAAATTCATTGAAATTGCTACACATAACAGAAACATGTTGATTTGCATTTATAAATCCAATAAAATCTTGGAGATATTCCCGATTTGGATATTAACAGATAGTGGCAGAAAATCATTGATTTAGAGGGACAATATATTCTAGAGACATCTGCATAGACAAATTCAATTAAAAAATAGACAAATTTATATTTATAAGAATTTAATAAATTCTAACTCTATATCTACATCTCACAATGGCAATAATTCAGGTGTTATTATCTATGTTTTCAGATGATTATAACAAAAGAATACTAAAATTTCAAGACTTTATACATACTATATTTCAGGTATAATGGAGGCTTATATGAATAACTAAGGCTACAATTTTCCCTTCATGTTATCTTTCTTTTTTCTGCCTGTTGGAGATTTTATTTTAAAAGTGATTATAGTTTTTTCTTGCCTTTACATTATTAGTTCTGCAATAAATATTTTAGTATAAAATCTAAATTATTTTTAAGAGAAAAATGTCTTCTAATTAAAAATATATTGTATACATAGCCGTGCACAGAGAGGCGGCCTCTCCGCGCTGACAACCTTTTCTTATCCATTTCAACAATAAATCTTACCTTTTATCCAGCTAAATATTTGCACCTTGACACTTCTTTCTACTTTGAAGACTCTTCTTCTCTTGCAAAAATGTGAAATTGCTAAAAGGTTAGTATGATCGATGAGATAAAATGTTAAAAAGATTCTTCACATGTGAACTCTCACGACTTTTAGTAGTTGAGGTAATAAGTAAAGTTAATAATTATAGGAATATTATTTTGTTGTTTTGTGAGTTAGCTGGGATAATAATTGTAGGAAATAGATTTTCTTTTGACTTTTTTTCCTTTTTTTTTTTGTCATTTCATTAACATATTCATTCACCTTTATATTAAAAAAAAACTAATAACTAACTTTATCAAATTTATCTTGGATGAACAAAGTATATCATAAATATCTTTTCTAGAAACTCTTTCTCATCATAAATTATCATTGTATTTGTACTGAAACTAAAACTTTACCACTCCATATCTTTTTACAGAGTTATTACTCAATATAAAGTATGGGCAGTATATAAAATCTATTTACATAAGTTTTTACTCAATAAAGTATGGGCACGATGAAATTTTACAGACTGTAACATGACTTTATTTTAGTTTTATATAGTACAAAAAATAGAGTTAATATTATTTTAAATATTTTAATCTAATTATTAATTCAATTCATCTCATTAGTACTACAAGTTTACAAATAATCCCCATACCATGTATGGCTATAGATTATATTTTACAATGTATTACTGTTAAATATAATATAAAAAATATAAATGTTATAACTCTGGGTGTCTATATATATCTTCTTCTGTTTTCGATTGGTTATCTCAAAAGAAACATTTTCTCTTAAAAGTTAGTCTGTGTCTTCATCGTGTTTTCTAATCTATATACGAATATTGTCACCATTACAATGGAAGAAAAGTACCAACTTATACCAGAAATTCTATCCAACAATAAAAAATAGAAAGTGAAAGTAATTATTGTAAAGAAACAATCACTAAAACCTTCAAGACAAGACAGTGGAAGAAACTAACACATGATGCTAATGGATACTGACGTAAGTTATGCATTTATTTAGTATTATTTTTCTTTTTGTAAATATGTTTTCTCTCTTACACTAATGAATTTTTATCTTTTTATCTATTAGAGTAACACTATCTAAGCAAGTCTATATGATTAGAATATCACTGCGTTCGAAAATGAACTTCTCCTTGGAAAAACCTATGTAATTTCTAAAGCTTATATTAAAAACAACACTGGAAAGTACAAATATTCAACATGAACTCTACAATGGACGATTTCTAGAGAAACTTGTATTCAAGAGTTGAATGAGAATAACTTGAAACTTGTTTTCTCAACCTATCACCCAACTTCTTTCGATGAAGTTGAATACTTCATGGATACAAATATTAATATAAGTAAGAAATTGTATCTTTATTCTCAAAATAAATAATACTATTATATATAATTTAATAAAATAATTAAAATTACAGATAACACAAAAAAATTTATTTATTTTTCATTTTGCAGGCATTTTGGCTATTGTGATTGATATGATGCCTAAACCATTAATTCAATCAAAGGTTGGCAACCAAACTTGGGTACAGGATGAAATACTTCTGGACAAAAAATTCAAAACAATGATGTTGACGCTGTGGGATTCATTTGTTGACAGAGAATGCAAATTATTCTCAGAAAATATTGACAAGAAATCAGTAATCTTTGCAACAAACCTAAAAGTCATCTCTTTTTTCGGGAAGTTTCTATTATTTCTCTTTATTTAAACTCTGCTTAAAAATGCATTTCATACCTTACATCAATGAATTGTATATGTTTAAAACTCTCCACAAAAGGTCGTAGTACATTCTTCATGAATAGTCCTTTCGTTGTAATACAAAAGTTGGTTGAATGGTACGTATGTATATCCTTCTCCTTACAATTATTATGGTTTTATTCGGCTTATTTACTCTTTCATTCTTTCAGGAAAGATACACATTTAGACAAAATCGATGAGTTCATTTTGAAAAATCCATACACTCAAAAATCTCCCACAAAATCGTCTCATCCAATGCGCACCAAATTCACCTTAATTCAAAATCTACAAGGCCGATTTTTACCGGTATTTATATATTTCTATACACAATAAAATTATGGTTTCTATTTATGTTTCTTTAGAAGTTAGAATTTCCTTTTTTTAGAGAAAAATTATTGTGTGAATGCCACAGCAAAAATAGAAAAAATAGATCAGAAATGTTGGTACATGGATTGTAGCAACTGTTATCGACGATCAAACGCTGATTTTGGGGAAATATATATTTGCATTTTCTGTAAAAGTTCCAATTTCAAAGCTATTTCTCGGTAAAATATATTTTTCTACAACTTTCTAT